TAAGTACATGATTGCATTTTCATATATGAATCTAAAACACTTTGCATATCAAATTCCCTATCACGTAGCTTTCCATGCCAAACTCAACATTTATGCAACATTTCATCGATTCAACATGCACTTCCTACTATGTTTCCATGTATGTATAAGTCTCCATGTGAGGCCAATCCTTTTCTAGCCCAACATTTCCATGGCCTAATAATCAGCTTGTCACTTCCTCTGAAATCTTGCTATCCTCTACGAGCCCACAAACCAACCCATGCCAAATGTGGCAGGCCATATGCCTTCTCTAGCTTCGGCCGGTTTGTGCCCTTTTCTGCATGCCTCACATAGTTGAACCTAACCAAATTTCCTCAAGTTGCACATGCACTTGTTGATTATATCCAATATGTGCCTTCCACCTCAGCATCTTTTACCTAGCGTATTGCCTTATGCTCATGCCAGTCAACCTTCTGCATAATCTACCACGGCCTCCATTCATCTAATGGTCACCAGGCCTCAAGATAGCATCTCCAAACCAAGGACATGCACTAATGGAACATTACGGTATCCTCTCCCCCATGCTCTTTAAGCTTCTCTTGCGATGGATGAACCTATCTTTTTTTTTTCTCATGCTTTTAAGAATCCTCTATGGCATTTATATGGGCTGTGAACGACGAGGATATTAATGCTCTTATCCGCAATAATATATATGGTCCATTGTTCCTTCTCACCCTAATCAAAACACAGGTTCTTGCAAATAGGTTTTTTGCATCAAGCACAAACCTGATGGCTTTGTTGAATGTTAAAAAGCATACTTGATGGCAAAGGGTTTCTTCAGCCTTTGGCAAGAATTGCACTGAAAGCTTGAGCCATGTGGCAAATTGACGGCAATTCACATTGTTTTGAGCTTAGCAATTTGTTGTGGCTAGCCTCTTTGTCAACTAAAAGTCAAAAAATGCCTTATACATGAGTTCCTCCAAACATATACATGGCTCAACCTCTAGTGTTCTTTAATCCCGTACACCCAAACTATGTATGTAGCCTCTATATGTGAAATCTCACCCTCAGATTTTTACAATTTAAATTTTTGTATTTTGTATTCACGCGAATTTATTTTTCTTTCAATAAATTTTAGAATTTTTGTTAGTAATAAAGTTCGATTTTTCGTAATTAGCCATAAAAGAAATTCGTAGACCTTTTGGGATCATTTGTGGACTTTACTGATAGGGCTTATGCACATGTAGGATAAAATCGTTCGTGGAACTGAGTTTTAATGAATGAGATATAAACGACCAAAAGGAAGGGAAAAATAGTAAATTAGACACTACAAATAGCAATCCAAAACCAGACTTACTATTTTAGGGAAAGATAACCCACAAGTTGACCAGTTGCCCCCCCCCCCCCAACAACCCGACGACTAGCTCGTTTTCGTGCAAACTTTCTGAGGCCGATTTCGATGTTTTCTTGGCAAATCAACCTCAACTTCCACTTGGGTTTAACTACCCTCATCCCAAGGATCATTTGTCACCCAATATTTTCTTCGTTTAGCAACCGTTCTCGACATATCAAGGCTCGACAGAAAATTGATGTACTCTTCACGAGCTTCATTTAACACATTATGAGTCAACTTTGGTATTGGTTGTATTCCAACAAGTCGTTGCCACAAGCCACCATGTTTAGCAGTGCGGCGGTGGCGGCGTGTGAGCCCGATAAACCACTTTTTTCCAGTTAGCTAATTTTGATGCCCTAATTTTTTTTAATTTTTTTTTTGGCACACATCCATTTGGTGAAATTCGATCTTGTAAACCTAGTTTCGCAATTGACTGCCACTCGACTTTTTTAGGTGGCGAAGATCTGAAAGTTGGATCATTATGGAATTGAAGTATGTTATTGTGGAAGTATTGGGTTGACCTTGGGAACTTGTGGATCAAAAATCCAATAGGCAGATATTTTGGGTTGGATTACGTAGGGTTGTTGACCTTACCGTTGGCCACATTAACCTAAGGTTAACTTTTGGTCAAAATGTCTGGGTTCTTAAATATTCAAATTATCATTATTACTGACCCAATAGATCCTAGTTTGCACTTTGATTAGTACACCATCCTGAGTGATATACATCTTGGTTTGCGTGTAAGTGAAACCTTATTAGGATTCACGTTTATTAGGCTTCTATATGTGGGTGACTTTAATATATGTGGTATGGTTATTATCTGAAAATTCTCATGCTATTATACTTAGCAGATATGACATGGATTATAAAATGTGTTTTCTGCTAAATTGTTTCTTTTAAATTCAGTCATCAATTTATTTTATGAAATGTGTTTAGGTATGCATATTTGATATATTTGTTAAACAATAGGGTAGGTATGATCGTTAACTCATTGCTATGGGGAGTTGTGACACCAAATTCGTATCGTATCCAATTCTCTTGATTTGTTTTATACTAGGATCCTAGAATTCTATTCGGTTTCGTTGAGTATTTTGGAACCATGCATTCCGTCTGGGTTTTGTTAATTGGTTTGGAACCCCTATCTTTGTTGGATTTTGTTGTGTAGTTTGGAATCCTTTTCCTTATCATTTTCATTAAGTGGTCTGAAACCCTATCTTCATTGGATTCCGTTGAGTGGTCTTGGAATCCCTCTCTTCTCGGTTCTATTGAGTGGTCAAAATTTCTTTCCTTATGGATTTCATTGAGTGTCTGAAATCCCTTTCTTTATCAATTGTGTTGAGTGTTCTAGAATCCTGTCTTCGTTAGATTCCATCAGAATCCTTCTCCCTGTCAGTTCTGTTAAGCGCATGGTTGCAGCGGCCGATGGGTGGGCCCGATTACCCACTTTTTCCATTTGGCTAATTTCGATGTCTGAATTCGTTTTTGATATCTGCTTGATGAGATTCAATCTTGTAAACCTAGTTCCATTATTAATTGCCACTCAACTTTTGGAGCTGGCAAAGATTTGACCATTGGATCATTATGGAATTGAAGTATGTTATTGTGAAGTATTGTGCTAACCTTAGGAACTTGTGGATCGAAAATCAAATTTGTGGATCTTCTTGAGGGGATTACGTAAGGTTGTTGACCCAACTGTTGACCATGTTGAACGAGGGTTGACTTTTGGTTAAATTGTCTTGAATTGTTCTTAAATACCAAAATTAGCATTACTGAAGACCTGATAGAGCCTACTAGGCCTACTTTGATAAGTAAGCCATCATGGGGATGTGCACCTCAGTTTGTGTGTAAGTGACGGCTTACCAGAATTCACATGGTTATTAGGCTTCTATATGTATATTAGTGACTTTAGTATATGTGGTATGGTTCTTACCTTGAAAATTTTCATGCTAGTATACTTAGTGGACATGACATGAATTTATAAAATATGTTTTCTGCTAGATTGCTGCTTTTGAATTTAGTCATCGATCTATTTTATGAAATGTGTTTTGCTATGTATATTTAAAATGTTTGGGAAATGAGAGGGCTAGTAGAGGACCATTAACTTATTATTATGGGAAATTGTGACACCGAACTCAAATCATGTCTAATTCCCTTGAGTTGTTCTAAAACAGGTTCCTATAATTCTGTTTGGTTCCGTTGAGTGGTTTGGAAATCGTGCTCTGTCTGGGTTCCATTAAGTTGGTCCAGAATCGTATCTTCGTTGAATTTCGTTAAGTGTTCCAGAATCCCTTTCCCTATCAGTTTCGTTGAGTGGTCTTGAACCCTGCCTTCGTTGGATTTCGTGGAGAGGTCCAAAATCTCTTTCCCTATCGATTTTGTTATGTCGTCTGAAACCCTATATTCCTTGGATTCCACTGAGTGGTCTGGAATCCTTATCCTTATCGATTTCGTTGAGTGGTCTGGAACCCTGTCTTCATTGAATTCTGTTAAGTGGTTCAGAATCGCTTTTATCTATCAATTCCGTTCAGTGATTTGAAACCCTATCTCCATCTGGTTTCCATTGAGTTGGTCTGAAACTCTGCACTATTTGGATTATATTTAGTTGGTCTGAAATCTCACTTTCCATTGGTTCTGTTGAGTTGGTCTGAAACCCTAGAACTCATTGTGAGGTATGTGAAGATGGAATGACGTATTGGTGCATCACTTACGTCAGTTGTCTAGAACCTTATATTTTTTATGCTAGGAATGTCATGAGAATGTATTTTATTTTCGTTAAATCTTATAAATTTAGTTAGTTACAAAGTTTAATTTATTGTAATTAGCCATTAAAAATTCGTAAACTTTTTTTTTTGGGTCAATCGTGGACTTTCAAGATAGGCTCTATTCCATGAATGTGTAGATGAATAATGTTCACGAAATGGAATTTTAACGAAGAAGATATACGTGAGCAAAGGAACCGGCCAGAACCGGACTTACTACTATGGGGGAAGCCAAGCCACGTGCAGTCTGGAGATCACCTTGCAGATGGATCAACTTTGAAGAGTGTTAAGACTTGAATCCTTCTTCTAAGACTTATGAAAGCTGTTAATTAGGCTATCTAATTGGAGTTGACTATCGTTGTAAACAATTCCTTTGGATTTTCTTTCTGTTGCATAAAAATTGGAACTCTTTTATGTAATTCGAATGTCCCAAATATAATCTTCTACATATTCTGTCCTAAATCTCCAATTACAATCCCAAGATTACTTGGTACAAATAGCATAACGTTTTGTTACCCGCAGCCCTGCTTGTATGATCCCCTTGTTGACTAAGGAGAACAAATATTCTACTGGTTTTTTCTTTTTTGGGTCAAAACCTTTTTATTGGTTGCGAATATATCAAGGGGATTAGAGAAACAACATAGATGAGATTTGATGACAGCTTCTTATAATTACTATTTTTTCATAGAACGATGATATTAGTGTGTTAAATGGTTAATTGTTGAGAAAGAAAAAAATTGGTAGAGATCAAACTTGCACCAAGTTACATAATTACTAAGTATAACTGCATGCCACTATATATAAAGCTAATTATTTAATGGTACGTAGCTGCCATAAAAACTTAAAAAGAAAAGATATATGCGACTCACCAGCTGATAGAGCATGTAGAGGTTTTCCTTTGGAATCCTTGGTTCGTAGAAGTAGCCTTGTGGTGTAGTTTTTATGCAGCTGGTAAAAATCAGACAGGGCCGTAGAAATGCAACTGAGAATAATCTGCCCTTCCCTTGACCCCATGTCAAGAATCACACCTACATGAACATCTTCAACAACAATATTTTCGGCAAACAAGAGACCTAGAAGGCTAAACAAGGTTACTACGGACAGACAGATGAAGGCTATTTGCTTCTTTGATCGAAACTCCATGTGCATCACTAACTTAAATTACTCAATTAATCAATACTTCTCTTGTTTGGTTTAGCACCGCAGCATCGTTTCGCTTATATAGGGTTAAGGTTGTTGGAAGTTCAAAGCAAAATAAATGCCGATAGTTACATATTGGTGGAATAGTCAAGGCTGCACATAAATATTACTCCCAAACAATAAAAAAAATAAAATAAAAAGAACATTTAAGTATTGTATACTCCAAAGTAAGAGCCTAATGAAAAATCATTAGTACTTTACTATAAAATATCAAATGTTCAAGAATATGCAAAATGAAAAGAGTTGTGTTTCAAGGTTGAGGAACCTTGCACGTTTATATATGCTTTAATGTTTTTTAGACTTGTACATTAATGATTATGAATTGTATTTATTTTGAACTCCCTTAAAAATACTATTTATGAGGATTTGTATGGTTTTAAAATTCACACAACGATGTACCCATACTCATAGCCTTTGTATATTTTTTTTCATTTTTCACACTTGTAAATTAATTATTATGATTTTTAATGTGTTGGTATTTTTAAATTACTTGATACTTTTATTTTATGTGTTTTATAATTTTTTAATCTCACTCTTTGCCTATAGTATACTATAAATAAAACTTAAATTTTTTTTATTCATATAGAATAATAATACAATAATACAATAATATATATTTAATATACAATATATACATATACACTACGGCTATTGTATTTATAGTAAGTTTTTTTAGTAGTTTAAAAAATTAAAATCATCAAAATAATTTTTTCTTAACGTGTCGGAATAGGTTACCCGTGTGTCACTTTCGTGTAAACCTGTTAAGGACCCGTTATTAACGGATTCTTATTGTGTGACCTAATAACGACCCGATTGGTTATCGTGTTGATCTAAAACTCGTTACTTTCGTGTCATTTACATATCGTGTTAACGAGTTGTGTAAGAAATTACCAGGTCTATGTAAACTAATCCTTTGGTAGTGCTCTAGTAATGATATCTGCCAACTGTTCTTCAATTTTGCAGTAGACTAGTTCAATCACATTTTCTTGCAGAGCTTGCCTTATGAAGTGATACCTTCAATTAATATGCTTTGTCTTTTGATGACATACAAGGTTCTTAGTGATGGCAATTGCAAACTTAAGGAGAGGAGTGGCATCAAGTTGAATTTGAACAAAATCTTCCAAGACAAATATGATCCATATAGTTTTTGAGCCCAAATATTTCTAGAGGGGTCTGACCATACTTCCTTTGGAGAATGAAGATGCTCTTCTCAGTTTGGATTACCCTAATATCAAGGAAATGGTGTAGTAGACCTAGATCAAACATTTCATATTTTGCCATCATATGAGTTTTGAAATCACTCAATATTTTCTCACAATTCCCAGTGTATACCACATCATCAACATATAATCAAACTATGAGTTCAAAGTCATCTTCAATTTTGATGTAGAATGTTGCCTCATTTGTGCTTCTTGAAAACCCATTTGCAGTGAAATAAGAGAAGATTTCTTGGTATCAAGCTCCAAGAGCTTGTTTTAGACCATAGAGAGCCTTTTTTCAATCGATAGACCCTGTCTTCTTCTTCTTTGATAATGAATCACTCAGACTAATCCACATAAACCTCCCCCTCTATCACTAGATTAAGGAATGCATTTGACATCAAGTTGGTACTATTTCCATTCTTTATACACCACAAGTGCAATCAGTGTCCTTATGGTAACCAACTTTGCCACTGGTGCAAATGTTTCATTGAAATCCCCTAAATTTCTTTGAATACCTTTTTGCAACAAGCGTTCCTTGTTGTTCTGAATTGAACCATCCAGGTTAAAGTTGGGTCTTGTATACCCACTTAACATCTATCACTGGCTTCTTTGTGGGGTTCTCCACTAAATCCCTAGAGCCATTTTTCACAATCATGAAGAGTTCATCCTCCATTGCTTTCTGCCATTCACCATCCTATGCTATTTTGAAATTGGTACCAGGAGGAATATCCTGCAAAATAAACAACTCAATTTTGCATAGTAGACTAACCAAATAAGCTAGTCAACTAGTTACAAGTTAGTCAGTGACAAAAAGTGCAATTTCAAGTACAGATCCTGATTGACCAGTACATCTAACAAATCAAAGTTTGCCCAAATCAGTTTCACAACACCAAATCCTAAACTCACATTTACATATCAATTCATTATACAAACAGCAATGACAAAGTAATTATGAATTAATGTATGATGGATTGACTTGTCAAGCTTATTAGTCAACTAAGTACAGATTCGTTAGTTAACTAAACGCAAATCTACAAATCAAACTTAGTTCACTACAAGTTATTCTAGTCAATAACAATTTAGTTCATAGCTCATAACTATAGACATGTAAATTTTGTTGCATACAAATGATGCATCACAAAGCTCCACGTACCATATGACTCATCACAAATGGACAAGTCATCAATGACATGTGGCACGAGTCAAGCAAAGGAAGTATAAAACTTCCCCAAAATTCGGCAATAAGGGAGAATCCCCTTTAAATTCGGCCAGGGAATCCAAATTGATCCTAAAACTGGAAAGTAAGCTAAAGTATCTTCATAAAACAAGTAAGCTAAAGTATCTTCATAAAACAAGTAAGAATTGAAGATTGCTCACAAAATGCCAAGGGAGTAAGTGGCTGAAATTACGACACAAAACATGCCTAAAATCATCCTAAAGGCAAGCCTTGAGAAGCCTATAAATACAAGGTCCTCCCACAAGCATTGGGGTAAAAAAATCTCTACACAGAAGAAACTCTGCCAAAACTTTGAAGAATAATACGCTGCCAAAGCTCTCTTTGAAGAACATTCAACCAAAGCCAAAGTTTTCTCTCGACCAAAGCCAAAGCACTTCCTTGAAGAATCAACAAAGGCTAGTGCCGATTCCTTCAAGACTTTGTTACAAGCTTATAAACTTGTAGCAACGTTCGTTTCAAGATCAAGTCACCAAGACCCTTGAAGCAACACAATCCCACATCCACACCATCTTTGTTGCACCTTGAGGTGAAGACCATCCCCACGTTTGTTTTAAGCTCAAAACTTGAAGCAATCGTTCAATTGTTTGTCTGAAATCAAGTCATTGCAACCCTTGGATCAATGGTCACGCATCTACATCAAATTTGAAGACTTAATCAGAGGAAAAGTTGTAAACAGAGATTGTAACCTACAAATTCATCAATACAAATTTACTTTGTACACGTGCTTTCATTTCATTCGAGACAAGAATTTTCGTGTTTACAATAACATGCAGTGTAAACTTAGCCACAAACACATATCAATTAACAACTCATGATGCATGAAACATATACCAGTAAATAAGGTATGTGAACAAGTATAGAGAAAAAGAACACAATTAAGTTTTTGGCCGAAAAAACCCACCTCTGGGTTAAAGAGCCGGGGACTCTCCATTGAGTCAAATCCACTAGTGTAAATAGGATTCGTACAAAGTATCCACACAAGCTCAATTCCTAGATCCTAATATACGGAGCAACTTATACCTTCATGCAACCTTGCCTTACACGAGATGAAGATTTCTTCGGTTTACCTTTATGCAACATTGCCTTAAACGAGATGAAGATCCCTTCAATCTTCACAAAGTAGCAACTCCTCCTGAGCTCTTCACCTTGTGGCACCGAAATGGAGTCGTCTCTAATCTTCACAAGATGGCAGCTCTTCTTTAATTCTTTATCTTGAGTCACCAAGATCGACACCAAAAAATGCACATGATGTGATAATGATGATAGTGTGTAATCTAGATTCAATGACTAGTCAGTTTCTTTAGTCAAATAGTTGAAAGAAGAAACTGACGAAAATCCAAAGCTAGTCAATAAGTAGATTTGAAACTTGAAAAACTTGACCACAAAATTTAATGCAAAACCATGAAGAACAATACAACCCTATTATGCAATGATTGGGTGTTTAATACATGAACATGATTTTGTCGCTGGGGTTTCTAATGAAGAACACAAGATGCAACTTAAGGTTTCAAAAACTCTCTGAAAATGAAAATTTTTCTAGCCAAAACAATTGAGCATCTAAGAAGATTTAAACAAGCATTTTCAAAGATAGTTCTAATCAACATAATAAACTTACCTACGCATCCTGTAAGATTATTTTGGCATTTCATAATAGTGCAACATTTCTTATAACATTATTTAATCATGGCGTCAAAGATTATAAGCATACATGTGCATCCCGCAGGATTTATGATAACTTCATAATTTTCCGTTATTTCACTAATTCTTATAAACTTTAGTCAAATCTAGGCGTACGTAAGGAATTCTTTTTCAAAGGCATAAATGGAAACTATCAATCACACACACACACACACACTTTAAAAAGGAAAAGACCCACTAATCTGGAGTCCGCGCTATAACTCCTTAGCATGAATATCGAGGCATCACGACTGATCATTGCCTAGAATAATTATCAAATCACGTCTCAGAATTCTTAACGATAGAACACGTGACTTGCATAAAACACATCCCTAAGAATGTTCTAGAATGATTTGAAACCCATTGACCAAAAGTCAACCATCGATCAAAGGTTGACGGTATGGTCCACAACCCTACATAACTCGATCCGAAAGATCTATGCTTCGAATTTCCGATTTGTAACTTCCCAACAGTTTCAATAAGCTTCTAGAATAACATCTAAAGTTTCGAAACGATCCAACGGTCGGATATTCGCCAATCGCTAAAATTAAGTAGCGGTCAACATTTTATTTTACGAACTTACAAATCCAATTTGGAAAGATCCGTACGTCGAATTCCCAATCCATAAGTTTCTATGGTCCATAACTATTACGTACTATTACATATTAAAAGTTTGGTGACGATCCAACGGTCGAATCGTCGATTGCTATAATGTTCAAGTGGCTGACCTTAACGAAAGTATGCTCAAATGACGGAATTTCGTCAATCGGGTGTCAAATATGGAATTGGGGTACCCAAATTAGTTTAGGAAGGGCAGGTGGGGTCTTGGCCCATGCACCGCAACGACTCATCGGAAAAATTCAATTATTTCTAAACATTCTCAAATTTTACTAGAATGAAGATCTCAATGAGTAGAGCAAGTTTTATA